TTCTATATAATAATCATTTAAATGTGACTTTTGAGATCTCAACTCTAGCCTCACAGGTTACGGTGTGATATGGTTTTTTTTGAGTTTTTTGGATTACGTGGCACACTGTCAGCCCTTCCTTCCCTCCCATGCATGTATTGTATTCTAATTGGTCGGTTTAGGTAGGCAGCCGCCAATTGGACCCCACCTGCAGGCTAACGAAGATCTATTGGTGACCATACATTTTACTCTCGTACTCTTCTTCAAGGGAAAAAAGAGTGAAGAAAATAAATAAATAAATTGTGAATTAGTGGTAATTTGTAAATTAGTGGTAATTTTATGGTTGATTTATGTAGGGGAATTTGTAAATTAGTGGTAAGATTAAAAAAATTTGTAGAATTATGAAAAATTTTATCATTTTAATTATTAAAATTGATAACTTTTACTACTGATTTATAATTATTTTGAAAACTTACATTAAATTGCAATTTTCCCCTTTATGTATTCTTAAATTGTGATCTAAAACACAATTTTCTTTTATAAGATGCGTTTTATATTTTTATTGGTCCTATATTCATGTATGAAGGTTAGGTTTGATTTAAAGATTGATTTTTGTATTTTTATATAAATTATTATGGTTATATAAATATATACTAGGAAAGAAGTGGGATTGTTGAGAGTTGAACTCTCAATCTTATGATTCACAAGACCCTAATTGCTGGGCTAATGGGCTTGATCAATTGACAGATTACTTAAATAACAGTTTGCCTGCCTATAATTGGTGGTTAAGCGTGCACTGGCAACTAGGAATGGCATTAATCCACCAAAGATCCTTTAGGGTGTTTTTTTCTTAAAAATTTTTTAAGTGGTGTATTGTGTGGTTGAAATTTAATATTGAAAAATTAATGTGACCTATCATTAAATCTCAACCACACAATGCACCACTCTAAAAAATTTTAGAAAAAAAAAAATTCTAAAGGATCCTTACTCGCATTAATCGGGCTAGCTTAAGTTTAAAAATCTTGTGTTTATTAAGATCGATTTGACCTAACATAGGCCTAAAGGTTTTATTTCATAATTTGTCCCAAAATTGTATTGAAGTCTACCAACAAACTAATTTTTTATTTATAAATCTTCCAAAATAAAAACTCCATAACTTTGTAGTTATGACATTTAATTTTTGTTTATTATACCCTAAGTTTGTGCTTTCTAATTTAAGTAAATAAAACAAAACTATATATGTGCATTTTTATAATATATAAAACACATTAATAATTGAGTTGAGTTGAGTTGAGTCAAGTCAAGTTGAGTTCAAATTATTTTCAAGTCTAATCCATTTAATAAAGCGATATTTACACTCAAGTCTTAATTTATGAGCTTATATTCCATTAAGTCCTAATTAAGATATTTGAACCTTCAAGTCCTATTAAATTTTTAATAGTCAGAATTATCCTTCAAACAATGATTGTTCATTATTTATAATTATCTATAAAAGAATATGATGATTTGACATTTATTTTAATTTTTAAAACTTTAAAATATCAACTTTTAAATTGAAAAAACTAAAAAAATATTATGTGCAAAAAAAAAAAAACTAATCAGTGTGTTTGGTTTCAGTTTTTGAAAATTAAGTTTTTTATTTTTCATTTTTTTTTTGTTTTAATGAATATTTTTAAAATTTTAATCAATTTTTTTAATTTTTTTATATGTACCTTACTTAGATGTATCTAAATAGTAAAATTTCTGTGCAAAAATATTTTTAAAAAATTAACAAATACACAAAGAATATGAAAATATACTGAATTTTTGTTTTTTTTTTAATTTTATGTTTTTGGTATTTAGTGAATTTTGTAAAGATTTTTTTTTCACAAATATTATGCTTTTTAAGTGTCTTTATGTTACGTGTATCTAAAAATTAAAAAAATTGTTTAAAATATTAAAAATGAAAAATATAGAAAATAAAAAAGTAGAATTTTTTGAAAAGTATTTTCTAAAAACAAAACCAATTTTTGAAAAAAAATTTAAAAATTGATTTTTTTTTTTTTTTTTTTTAAAACTAAAAATGGTATCTATAAAAGAGCATAATGATGGAAAATTGATGTGAAAAAAAAAAAAAAACTTTAAAAATGAAAAAAACTAAAAGTGTTCTCAGTTTTAGAATTAGAAAAAATTGATAATATTTTCGATTTTATTAGATAGTTGAATCAAATTAGTAAGTAAAAGGGCAAAAACGTTTAATTTTATGTTCTGTTTTTTTCATCGATTATTGAAATAATTATCTGAAATATTACTATATAAAATTGATAATGTTCTTAATTTTAAAAATTGAAAGAAAAAAAATTGATAATATTTTTAGTTTTACTACATAGGATTTATTAGCTCAAAAAATTTTAGATAGAATCTGAACTACCGTTTTAAATAACTAACTCTTTAATAAATAGGTTTAAAATTTTAATCTATCTCATCTTATAAACTTAAATATCAATCTCAAGCTTTTAAAAGTGCAGGTTATTTGGGCCATTAGGCTCCGTTTGGCAAGAGTTAAACGGGGCTTTTTTGGCTATTTTAGTCACAAAAAATAAAATATCACATTCAACCCAATCATTACATTCTTCTCTCACAAAAAAAAGTTAAAAAAACTAAAAAGTCAAAAAGCCTTTCTCAAACCAAACTTTGGCTTCGTTTGGGAAGTGGCTATTTTAGTAGACTATTTGACTTTTTGACTATTTTAGTAGGCTATTTTAGTTTTGTATTTGGGAAGATGAGATGAATTTTTAGTTGAGTTGTTGTATTGGAAAGTGTATTGAAATAATGTTTAAATTTAAAATGACAGATTTATCCCTAACTTTTTATTTTTAAAATTGATATAAAGGGGCAAAATGGTAAATTTGCCCTTGCTGTCACACTGTCCGGCTGTGACAGTGTAGGCTGTGACAGTGTAGGCTATGCCTACACTGTCCGGGCAGCAGCCTATTATTTATTTTTTATTTATTTATTTATTTTTTGAAAAAGTTGGCAACAGTGCTGCTTTTGGGCTATTTTCTGAAAACAGGCTACAATAGCCTCATTTGAGGCTTCCCAAACAGCGCCTTTTTAATCCAAGCTAAAATAGTCAAAAAAATCAAAACGCTAAAAAACTAACACACTTCTCAAACGGAGGCTAATATCCATTCTCACATGAATCCCAAAAAATAATTATTATTGTACGAAAAAAAAAAATGATGAAAAAAAGTCTAGAAATGATGTGATTTGATATTTATGTATTTATTTTTAAACATAAGAGAGGAGAGGTGAATTAAGTTTCATTATTGATTACATAGTTAACTTTTTTGTATGATGACTTCTCTAGCTTTGTTTGGTTTTTATTTTTGAGTTTTTTTTATTTTTATAAGAAAAAAAGTATAATGATTATGGTTTGATAATTCAAATTTGTATGACTCGAATGTATCCAAACGACGTCGTTTTGAGACATTTGAGCTACTCGAGCAGCTACTAAGCATTGGTCTTTATTTTAATGGCTTATATAGCCTATTTTGTCTTTTTATACTTTTTAGCCCCAAAATGAAAACCAAACGAAGACTAAATTTGTGACTTTTTATTAAAATATACAACACTTAACCATGGTTTGGCTAACATGTTGGAGTTAAATAATCACAAAAAAGACAAAATAGGTTATATAAGTCAATAAGATAAAATACTACTTTTTATCCATAATCACTACACTTTTTCTCCCATAAAAATAAAAAAAAACTCAAAACAAAAACCAAATGAGGTTAAAAAAGTCAGACTAAAAAAGTCATAATACAAAAAATTAACTAAAAAAAGCCAATACCAAACGAACCCTTAGCTACAAAGCTAATCTCATTGATTTTTAAGTTAGTGCTAATAGCAGTACTTGAAATATGGTTTCAAATATAGAATATATAGTGGTGTTTTGAGAAGTTAGTAAAAAGTTGATTTTTTTACTTTTTTGATAAAAAAATTGATTTTTTTAACTAAAAAAATTAAAAAATTAACTTTTTTAGCCTCTTTCCAAAGTACCCCATAGATACAAAATAAAAAGTATTTATATTTGTAATTGTGAATATATTCTCATCTATAAATGCAAATATATGTGTCATATCTATCCATTCCGTTTTTGAAATTTTTTATGTTTCCAAACCTTTCCTAATGCTAAACAACACCTAAGGGCAAGTTTTTTTTTACTGTTGTTTTTTTTTTTAAATTTTTAAACAATAGTTATAGAGCAAGTTATGCCATTTTTAAGTTGGTGCCAAACAAACACCATCTTAGCCTCCGTTTGGGAAGTGGGTTGACTTTTTAGCTTTTTGATTTTTTTGGCTATTTTAGCCTGAGCTAAAAAACTTGATTTGGAAATGGCTTTTTGGCTTTTTAGTTTTTTTGACTTTTTTTGTGAGAGAAGAATATAATGATTATAGGTTGGATGTGATGTTTTGTTTGTTATGACTAAAATAGCCTATTTTGTTTTTTGTGGCTAAAATAACAAAAAAAACCTGAAAAAGCCCTTGCCAAACACAGGCTTAAATTCTTCTAGTCTCCTAATAATATTACAAATTTATCTTCATCACTTTTAAATCTATTCAAAAAAAGAAATTAATATCTTAAATTTATTTCATATATAAACTCCAAATTTTATTAATTCAATCTCTACCCTACAAACACATTTGATATAAATTCTGAGTCCGAGTAACTTCCTAACATTTTTCTTTAGTCTCTTCAGACTAGCCAAGGCTACCCAGAAGCCAAAACGACGTCGCTGAACTACAGGACACTACAGTACTACCATTGTAATTACGTTGTGAGCTGGCATCAGAACTGCCCAGAAAATAACGATGTGCAACAAGGCTAAAACCGGAAACCAAAATACTTGGGCGGGAAAGAGAGCCGTTGCTGACTAAACCCCAAAACTTGGCGCCAAAATTCTCAGTTTTTACTCGGTTTCGGCTGCCCGACATTTCACGGGCAGTTCTCTCTCTCTCTCTCTCTAACCCTCTCTCAATTAGAACCCTTCAATTAGCCGAGGCCTCTCTCTCTCTCCATAAGCACATTTTTCTTTTCTCATTCTCTCTCTATTATCACAATCTCTCTCTTCATTTTGACACCAACCCTCCCTTTCCTTTCTCTATTCAAAGTCTTTTCTTCATTCAAAGTCTACCCCGTGTTCATTCCCTTTCTCACTCCTCTTTCTTACCAGAGAGAATATAATCAAAGCAAATACCAAAGACCCTTTTCACTTGTTCCCCCCTCTTCTTTCTCTCTCTGCTCTGCTCTGCTCTGCTCTTGCTGGTAATTTACAACCCAAAAGGTGTCTCCTTCAGTTCTTCTTCAAAGTTCTGATTGGGTTTCGATTTTTATTCAAGATGGGTTTTTCAAAGAAGCATCAAGTGGACATAGGTCCAGAATCAGAGGGCAAGAAATGGGTAATCGCTGGAATAGCGATTCGTGCTCCGTTGAAATCAATAACTACTAAGCCTAAGGAGAGAGGCTGTGACGATGACGAAGCGAGTTTGACCACCCCGACGGCGAGAGAATCGAGGATACCGGAGAGGCTGCCGTGCCCGCCGGCGCCGAGGAAGCGCCGGCCGTCGTCGACGTGCCACTACAATGGTGCTAGGGAGTTCTTTACTCCTCCAGACTTGGAATCAGTATTTATACGCCATGTTGAGAGTGCAAATTGAGTTCTTTAGGGTTTTTTAGGTAGCTCTTGTGTTGTCTTGTTCTTGTTCTTGTTGCTGTGTTTTTGTTTTGTTTTGCATTTGGTGGTTGCTCTGTTTTGGTAGTAGTTAGGTTAGAGGAGATTGTTATAGTGTACAAATATATAATATATATATATATATATATGGTGTTTATGAAATCGGTAGGCTAGTTCAGTCATGTTTCTCAAATCTTTGGCAAGTTTCTCCTTTTTGTGGTGGATTGATTCAATGAATTTGTTTTGACATCTATTTATCTTGTGCTGGTATTGAATAAAAGTTTTATGGTACATGACTAACATGGCCAAAATATTTATTTGTCATTTACAATCTGACCATTGTTTGCCAGCCTCTCTCTCTCTCTCTCCACATAAAACTAGAATTTTGTGAAGTTTTAACTTCGATGCTTTTTAACTATTCGGGTCTTTTGCCTCGACTACTCCCTAGGTAATGTAATATTTGTTTTACATGGATCGAGTATTTATCAAGCACAGGGTTAAAATAGCCTTTAAAAGATCAAACACTTAAATATAATTTGAACTCATAACCAACGCTTTGCATTTATCACGGTTGAACTTGACACAAATAATGCCTCAGGTTAGCATAGAGAGTATCTTAAGTCAAAAATGTCAAAGCGATCTCATTTATTGATCGATATATCAATTGCAGAAGTCTGATATATCAATTGCAGAAGTTTAAAAAATTTATAACCCTTACATACTGATGCATTCAATATTCACTCCATAACAGAGTCAGTAATACACTAATCAACTAAAGTAAGAAAGGGTTTCTCAACAGAAATAAAAGTAGATCTTTTCTATGTCTGAGAGAGAGAGAAATGCTCTGCACGGATGGATGGTTCACAAATCTCTCACAAAACCTTCTTCCTTGGTGCCCAAGTTCCCTACTTTTTAATTTGTTTATGCTCTCTGCCATTGCTCTCTTTAGTCTTCTTCTTTCTATGGCCCACCCAGTCTCACAGTACGATTTTGTTCACACAATCAAAGAGTGGGTAAACAATACACAGGTAGTTTGGCATTGGCCAAATATAGCTAACTTTTTTAGTTTGGGGCTCTTTTAGTTTGGCTTTTTTAATCCTGTTTGGTTTTTGTTTTGAAATTTTTTTGACTTTTGTAAAAGAAAAATGTAATAATTATGAGTAAAAAATGATATTTTGTATTATTGACTTATATAACTTATTTTGTCTTTCTATACTTTTTTTAGTCTCAAAATGTTAGCCAAACGAGCACACACTTTGTGATTGATAAAAAACATAGTAAGGTCTAGGTATTTAAGAAGAGTCCTCACATTTTTTGAAAATGAAACTTGGTATTTTGCACAAATCACAATCTACATATTGTGGGTGTTTCGAAGTTGTTATTTTAGTTTTTGATTATTTTAGTAGGCTAAAATTTTTGTATTTAAAAAGATGATTGGATTTTTTGTAATTGGATTTGATATTTGTGAGAGAAAAAATAAAATAATTATAGATTTAATGTAATATTTTATCTTATTAACTATTTTGGTTTATTTTATTTTTTTTATAGATTTTAACCTAAATTAGATTTTAGCTTATTTTGTCTCCCAATCCAAAACTCATTCACCACTCTCACTCACATATCCCACCACCTCCTCCACCAGAATGGCTGAAATGAAACACCTATATTTTGACAACAAAGCCCTGTTGTTTTGTGTCCATCCAAACGTAAATGTCATATGACATTTGATGTCAAAGACACTTGGTAAATTTGGTATTTTTTTAATTATTTTTGTGCTTTTGGATAAGTCTTAACCCTTATGGAGTGTTTGGTTGGGAGATTTGAGAATGGATTTGGAAAGAGAAAGAGAAAAGGTGTGTGAAACTATATGAAATAGATACATATTTTATTCACATTTCACTTACCTTTTTCATTTCTCTTTCCAAATCCTTCCCCAAATCCCCCAACCAAACACAACATAAAGGCGGACATACATGTTTATTGAGAGATAGGTATTTAAAAAGTTTATCTACGAAAGTGTTTAGAATTTGAATTTAAAGAGTAAACACACTTCATGTAAATTTTGTATTTTATGCGACAAGTTAATTGGTGTGTTTACTATGTTACTTTGCCTTTTCAAAATATTTATTAGTTATACATCTACGGCACTCAATAACTGTTGTTTAAATTATGAAATTAAATAAATAGGTTTATGAAGAAATCAAAATTATATACCAAGAACATATGCTGATAATTACTACTAAATTTCAACAGAAATACACAAAACAATAAAATGGTAAAGAAACCAAACCGAAGCCTGCACGATAGTAGTTTCCTTAAAACAGATTCCGCCGCCTCACGGGTCGAATGCTTAAGGAATCCCGGAGTCTGTCTCCCAAGATACGACGGTCAAAAACCAGCTACGACAGAAGCACTTTCTGTTTAGCTTAGCGAACAAAAACAATGGCAGCACTCTCTCACAGTAGGAACTTTCTGGCAAATTGACTTGTAAAATGAAAGTAAAAATTTCTATATTGAGACTTGACAGGAGGGACTCAATTTATACATGTATAAGGGATAGAGGAAGAGCCACCAGCCTTTATGGCTGGTCATTAAAGCCCCATTAACCACGATCCATAACCCCTTTCCAGAAAGATGAAAAGTTTGGATGCCCAACAAGTTCACACCCTTTAGCCAAGAAAAAGGATTTAAATACCCTTTAAAATCTCATTCATAAATCTAACATCATGAGGTAATTTCTTGGAAATTTCTTATTCAATTCTCAATGATTTTTGGCCCACTTGGACCCAACACATAGATGGTTGAGACCCACTTTAATATTTAATTAAAGTTACCACACTTTAATATTAAATTAAAGTCACAAAAAAATCATTTTTTCCAACAATCCCTTACATGAATAAAAATTGACCAAATGACTCAACAAATGGACACCGTTCAACAATAAAGACTCGGAGGGAGAGTACAACGGACTAATCCCGACATCAGAGAAGGTAGCTTTTGGCTTTGAACCTCTCCCAGTGAAAACCTATCGAGTTTACTGGCTGATGAGTGAATATAACATCTTGAACTGCTCTGTCGTTTATGTCAACTGAGACAATAGATCTCACACAGGAATTACTCCTACCACCATTCTGTTCTCACTAGTGTGCCTTGTATGGCCCTGGGCACTAGCCTGGTTCAGCGAGTGGTTTCAAAGAATCTTGGCCTGCCCAATTCTTCTAGAAGCGGCCCCACTTCAAACTCACATAGGTGACTCTACTTTAGTATCCTGCTATACTTAGCTCAACAACTTAACACACTAGAGTCATTAAAAGCTCAGCTTAACCTCTACACTTGCAGGTATCACTGATAGAAGGAATGGCTGGAGGTTTAACCTCCTCAATGACATACCACCGTTACACGCAATTAGGTTGTCCCATTGAACCTAGATCTTGGGATCTCCAGTCAACTAGGTTGGATTTCCATTCCAGTACCTTCCAATGGCCTCAACCCCATTCCTTTTGACGACATTTCGACTAACACTTGATTTAACCCTTTGGTTAGCGGATCTGCAATGTTGTCCTTAGACTTTACAAAGTGTATAGAGACAACTCCATTCGAGAGTAGTTGTCGTATGGAATTATGTCTACGACGGATATGTCTAGACTTTCTATTATACATATTACTCTGTACCCTACCAATTGCAGATTGACTATCACAATTAATACAAATAGCTGGCACAGGTTTAGATCAACGTGGAATATCTTCAATGAAATGGCGAAGCCATTCAGTTTCTTCCGTTGCTTTATCAAAAGCAATAAACTCTAATTCCATCGTTGATCTAGATATACACGTTTGCTTAGAAGATTTCCAAAACACGGCTGCCCTACCAAGAGTGAACACAAATCCACTAGTGGACTTTGAGTCCTTTATATCTGATATCCAATTCGTATCACTATAGTCTTCAAGCACCACTGGATATCGAGTATAATGCAGCCCATAATCCCGAGTGTAGCATAAATACCTTAACACCCGCACAATGTCCTTCCAATGAGAAGCATCGGGATTACTTGTGTATCTACTAAGCCTGCTAACAGAGTAAGCTATATCCGGCCTAGTACAACTCATCAGATATATTAAACTTCTAATTACCCGAGAATATTCTAACTGAGAGACACATTCTTTAATATTCTTGGTAAAATGTAGACTTAAGTCTACAGGTGTCAATGACACACTCGTATCTGATCCACTAAACTTCTCAAGTATCTTATCAACATAATGAGACTGAGAAAGTACAATTTCGCCAGATATTCTGGTAATCTTAATTCCCAGAATAACGTCTACAATGCCCATATCCTTCATGTCAAACTTAGAGTTTAACAACTTCTTGGTAGTTTTGATCATTTCATCGTTACTACCTATAATAAACATATCATTAACATATTGACACAAACTGGCATAACCTCTGTCAGTGTCTTTGACATAAACACACATGTCATATTCGTTGAAAACTCACTTGACAACATTACGTTGTCAAACATTTCATGCCATCGTTTAGGCGCTTGCTTCAAGCCATACAATGATTTGACAAGTTTACAGACTTTCTTGCTTTGCCCTGGAGCTGAAAACCCTTTAGGTTGCTCCATGCAGATTTCTTCATTCAAATCCCCATTTAAGAAAGCTGTCTTTACATCCATCTGGTGTATCTCCAGATTGCGCAAAGCTGCTATCGCAATCATCATACGAATGGATGTTATCCTAGTTACAGGTGAGTGCGTATCAAAGTAATCCAAACCTTCTCGTTGCATGTACCCTATGATAACGCGCCTCGCCTTATACTTGTCAATAGACCCATCGGCCTTCATCTTTCTTTTTAAAAATCCATTTGCAGCCTAAAGGCTTACAACCTGGAGGTAAATCTACCAACTCCCAGGTGTGGTTCTGTAAGATGGAGTCAATCTCACTTTTGATCTCTTCTTTCCATAAAGGACTCTCAGAAAAAGTCACAGTTTCGTGAAAAGTTTGAGGTTCGTTCTTAACCATAAAAGTCAAGAAGCCTGGATCAAAAGACTTGGACATCCTAGCCCTTTTACTCCTTCTAGGCTGATCATCACCTTGATTCCCAACTTGATCATCAAAATGATCATCATCACTAACAAGCTCACCAAATTGCTCCAAAACCTCAAAACCCCTTCTTAGGTTCGGCAAGGAAAAATGTCTTCAAAGAAACATGCATTCCTTGACTCCATGATGGTATTCCTGTGAATGTCTGAAGTTTCAGACTTATGTACAAGAAACCGATATGCACTACTATTATGTGCATAACCAATGAATATACAATCCACCA